GGGGGGGGGGGGGGGGGGGGGAAACGGGGTGTTCTGCACAAACCTCGCGCAAAGAATGCACAAATGTTCTCCAGTCCAGTACTTTAATTTATTTAATTCAATCACTGCTGGTCAAAGCATGTGTAAGTAATTTCTAAAGTCTTCAATTCCACATAGTCAAAGAATTTACAACTCACATAAATTGGTGTAGCAACTGATTTAGCAGCAAGGGTATTTTCCCCTGGCTGCTAAGTCAGTTTTTTGGGGGGTGGCAACTCTGTGACCAGAAATAAATAAACGTTAAATTTTTATAAATGGTTGTGTGTAATAATGTTAGGCTGGGATGGGCTATTTGAAGGTGAGCTAAGATTATCCAGGACTAACATGAACTGTGATTATGACTTGATTTTTTCCACTTTCGAGATATTTTAAAGTTATTTCATCTGTAGAAAATCAGCAGTAGAGAGCGCTTTGTAAGGATAAGAAATTAACCCTTGACTAACTTCTAATGCTACATTATTGTTAATTAGCGTGCGAGCAACCAGGTCTTGGTTCAAAGAAGAGAATTTAACGTTTCAAAGATGACTGGGAAGAGCGTTCACATTTCTTAGGTAATCTAATTTTCTAAAATCTGAAATAAATTATCAGTAAAACTCTACTTGATTGCAAGGCACTGTAAGTCGGCTCTTATAGTGGATGTAGTTAGCTGTGTTTTTGAGAATAAATATTTTAGATCTTTTGTATTTCTTGTTATTGTGATGTCTGAGTATCATTTTGTGAGCAACCTTCTACATCGTGACTCTCTCTGACACGCAACACTACGCTCTTCGAGAACGTAGCGTTGCGTTGCGTGTCGTACCCAGATCTCACTCTGTTTGACGTTGGAAAGTGTTGGAGAGGTTCGAGATTAGTAATAAGCAAAATAAAGCCAAGCCGTTATGAGATTTGCAATTTCGGTTATCGTCAGTCTTCGTTGCAGACCAGGAGAGAGGTTGAATAGTGTCGGGGTAGCTGGAGGTTTCGCACCCACCCGGGTTCCTATCCACATCGACTCAACTGGCGATCAAGTGCTTAAAATTTATCTTTCTCTTACCGAGCGAAATGAAACAAAATGACACAAAACATGTTTATTTCTCGTTCTTTAATTCATTTAATGTGAAGGCGAACTCGAAATAGAAAGTTTATAATGAATTCAGGGGTGCGAACTCGACTGGGTGCGAAACGGGCAACATTCACATTCCCGTCCCCGGAGGCTACGCTTCTTTTGGTCAGCACCAAGGATCGCGACCTCTGGGACCTCTGGGGATCCCTCTGGGCTGGTCCAACACCGGAAGTCCGCGATTCACCGACTGACAAATCTGATTTACTGCAATCTCGTTCCCAGAGTCTTCGTTCCCCTTGACCAGCGGTCGGAAAACGAGAGCTCCGGGAGCAACCATTTTGAAATAACCGAATTCTGGTGATTCTGCTCATCTAGTTTCACTGCGCAGTCCGCATCTACTGCGTATGCCTGAAATGGTTGCTCCCAGAGCTCTCACTTTCCGACCGCTGGTCAAGGGGAACGAAGACTCTGGGAACGAGATTGGATTTACTGAGAATACGAAACGAATAGTCTGCGCATGCTCAGAAAATTGGGTGCGGCCACAGGCCGCGATTTTTGGTGCTGACCAAAAGGAGCGCGGCCTCTGGGAACGAGAATGGTAATATTCAGTGTCGGTGTTTGATTGCGAGCATACAGTTTTTAGGGTATTTGCTTGCCAAACTATCAACCGCGTACGAGAGTCTTCGTTTCCCTTTACCAGCGGTAGTGAAGCGAGCGACCCTGGAAAGATTCGATTTAAGGTAATTCCCCTAAAATAAAACTGTATATAGGTTTTTGTTCAAACTTTGTCCAATGAATATCTATCATATGAGAACTTAAATTATAAAATTAGAAAGGGGGGTGCCCATGCTCGTTAAGGAGCAGTGAGGCATTGAAAATGTCCCATTTTAGCGTTATTTAATACTTATTACAAGAACGCGTTCCAAGTTATTGTAAACTCTTTGTGAGCCCAGACTCATGAAAACACGCCTCAAACTACAGTCAATACTTGTGTCGAACACAAATAAACTAAATAGATTTTGACAGACAGCTGAGTCCTTGTCAAAATATTGGAACCAAGTTGCTTGCCACGGCTATCAAACTGCAAAATAGAAAAGACTACAGTGCAGCTGCTATTTTTCTTATTTATTCAATTTTTAAACAGAGGAATCAGATCAGTCTTTTCTCACGCAAACCTAATGATTAGTTGATTAAAATGGCTGGAAAAAAATTGGGGGTGCCCGAGGTCGTTAGTGAGCTATAGCCAGTTTTTCAACTGACAGAACTCAATATCAAGGCAAATCCGCCATGTTTTCAATTTGCGCGTGCACGAACGCGCGCTAATGACGCCATAAATTATGCACAGTAAGGAAGCGCAATCATGGATAGTAAAGAGACTGGATTGGATACTAGCTCGCGTCACCGGTTCCAACACAGTGGAAATTCGTGACGTCACTGTCGCAAACTAAAGTTTATTTTTGCAGAACTTTGTTTACACTACACAGTAAGTGACCAAACCAGGACCAAACTATGGATATTGA